ATAAAGTGAAGCAAAGCAAATCTATATTTAGGAGGGTGGAAGGTGTGATAGAAAAGAGGGCAACACAGTAAAAGAGCAATGAGAACAGGTCAAGAAAGGAGGAAAATTATCTCACGTTCTATTTTAGATGTGTGTGTGTGTGTGTGTGGGGTGTGTGTGTGTGTGTGTGTGTGTGTGTGGGGGGTGTGTGTGTGTGTGTGTGTGTCAGACAGTGACAGTAGAGCGAACAGTAACAGTGACGTACCAGGCTGGCAGAGATATTTTAGTAACTGGGACAAGCCAGAAAAGAGGTAGTGAGGAAGACAAAGGAAGAAAAGATGAAGAGATCGTTTAGAAGATCCCATTCGCTCCCTCTGTCTTCTCACCTCCCCTCCTCCCCCGCCTACCCTACCTCTCACCCTCCTCCTCCAGTTGATTGACAGCACCCCCACCTCCCCTACCCCCTGCTCTTTGATTGACAGGGCTCCCCAGACGGAGGCTCTTATCCCCTGAAACAAATCTTGATCTGCTCCTCCTCCTCTTCTTTTCTCCTGTGTCTGCTTCTATGAGCCTCCCCATCCTCCTCTTTCCCCTGTAAATGCTGCCTCATCACCATCACCTCCTCGTTCTACCGTTCCTCCATCCTTTCCTCTTTCCCATCATCTCCACCTCAAGCTGTGACCCCTCTTAACCCTGCAGATTGCACACACACACGCACACATGCAGACACATGGGGAACCCCCTTAAACCCTCAGGCTTATGCAGGCCCCTTTACAACCCGAGACAACACACTCTGGCTCACAGAACAGACACCCACAAACTGCCTTCCTTAAGTCCTGACACTGATCTAAGCTCTGAACACACTGCCTGAGACTATAACCCAGACTACACACACACACACTCTCTCTGACACACAGCCTGGGCTTATTAAGCCAATTGTGGGTGTCTAAACATGCAGCAAGCTGAGCAGTGAGGTAGGTAACCCCCGAGGGCCACGGAGAGACCAAAACAGTCAGAGAGGGAGAAAAAGGAGGGGAGTGAAGACGAAGGATGCTGTGAATGAGTTGGAGGAAGGCCAGGAGTGAGGAGGGGAAAATGACACATGCAGCAGAGGGAAACAGACGTGTTGGAGAAGAAAGGAGCGAGAGCTGATGAGGATGCTGTCGGAGGAGACAGTAAAAGACGCGAGAAACCAGCTGAAAGGAAGCCACACACACACACGCACACACACGCAGAGAGGAGCTCAGAGTGAATGTGGCTCTTTAGGAGTCAAGCAGGCGTATGATAGGATATCGTTGCATGTCGTTAACCCTATATTAACCCTGAGACACAGCGAGACACTCGCTGTCCCACAACAGGGATTTACAGGGCCATACACACTCTTTCACACACACCTATGCATGGAGTGATGGGCTACTTGTCACTCAGACATGCTCACTGGCACAAAGCAATGAGCTGCCAGTCATTCGGTTTCCCAGTTTGCTATCTCTTCATCCCCAGTGTTAAAGGCAGATGCATGATGAACAAATGGAGCACTTTTAGGTTAAATGTCAAACAATCTGTTCATCATTTCTTTGCTTTAATTACATGTATTTCCTGTTAAGTATTGGTGATTTAAATGCATCAGTTCCACTTGAAAATAAACTGGGTTTATATGAACTCGATGCATAGGGATACATCAAACCCCCAAATTACTGTCACCTCTACTAAAGATTGAAATAAAACTCTTAGTAAATATATAAAATGTTGTTGTGATGACCTGCTAACCTCAAAAAGCTTCTCCATATCGATCTTTCCTGACAGCTTTGGAGTCATTTTACTTCCCATACTCTCACCCTCTGTGCATTTTAGAAAAATCAATACTTGTATAAGTTTGTTTAAGTTTTTAATCAGGGTGTTTTTCACTTAATGGCAGTGGTTCCCAAACTTTGTAATTTTTCATCAACAAAATAAGAATGTAAGAGGATCATGACCCCAACTCTTGGTTTAGTTAAAGTATTTTTTACCAAGTCAGATACACTGGTACACAGACAACACAATCAGACACAAGCTAATAATGTTAGCTACCACTGTTATGGTACAAATTCAAAGCATGAAAAAATTATTTTACATTTTGTGTGCATACATTTAAGATTATGGCTAAGGTATTTGAATAAAAAAATGTTCATTTGGTTTATTCAAGCTTGAAAAAGTTAAATTCCAGTCAGATGTATTTACAGTAAGTGACTCACTTAAAGATATTATTCTGTCCTTCTTTCCTCGTGTTTTTGTCAGTTCCAGATGTTGCAACAAGATGCTGCGAGGGGAGGGGGGCTGACAGGAAGTATCCCACGGTATCCACAGTAACCTTGACATTCCTTCCTGACCAAGTTCCCTGACATCTCTTAGAAATCACTTTACTGCTTCTCTCTTTCAGCCACGTCAAATGACGCACAACCACACCAGCAGTCCCACAAACACCGCTGCTCCAAACGGTCCAGTTCCTCACACATAATGGGTTATGTACCCATTATTATGTCAAGTTGTGTCTAATGTGTCAGCTATTCTTTCATAACCCACACTCACACAGTCACACACAGATCTGGACGTTAACTTCCACACCTTCCAGGCAAATATATAATGGGAGGTAAGATGAGAAGTCTGAGAGAGCCGACAGAAACAAAACAAAATCAGGGCTGCGCTTTAAAGTTAGGACAACGTTCTGCACAAACATGCAAACAGAGGCAATACACACATTTATACCCTTTAAATCTCCATGAAGTCAAATTTACTTTGAGTGTAACTTTATGAACTATGATGCAGTTAAGTCCTACAGTTTTCTTCCCCCTGCCAACTACATACTTACTGCAGTCTTTTAATTTTACCAACATGTAAAATTACGTATCCCAGCCAGAGTCCCAATTCGAAGCCTGTACAGAATCTAACAATTAGGATGATGATTAAAGAAAATGAAAGGTGAAATAAAAGGTCAGACTCAGACTGTCCTCCTGTAGGAGCCACTTCTTCATGCCAACGGGAGTGAATACAGAGTGTCTGCATAGCGTAGCATGAGATCCAGTAACATCATTAACAGCTCATTGGTGCAAATTTGGAAGAGCGCCTGCAGTTTTGTAGCATTGGTATGAAACTGCAAGGATAAGATATGAAGTTATGTGCGGATGAGCTATGAAAATCCTGATCAATGAATTTAAATGTCTAAAACATCAGAGAGCAGGCTAGCTTAGCTAGAGATCATAACAGAAATCTACTCAATTATCAAGGAGTCAAAAAAATCAGTCTTTGAATGTTTAGTACTTAAAGTCACTTATACTCTCAAAATACATGGGAACTAAACAACTTTTTTTACACAATTGACTCCAGATACAGGAAGCCAGATACATTGCCAGAGTCTCTGCTAGGCATTTTTAGTAAAAGTTATTTTTTCCAAATCTACATTTCTTTTTAATGTTGCATGAAGATAAGTGGCTTTTAGTGAAGAAAAGAAGCACACCATAGTTACATCTGCAAAAGTCTCATTTTAAAGGTTATTTCATTAGACTACCAGGTAAGCCAAGCTTTGATGTCAAAAACTGTTTCATCCAAAGCACCACTACTTAGTCATTTACTGCACACATATGGAAAAATGTAAGTGCTATGAAAACCCCATAGCAATAACCTGATAATAAAGTTACCCAATCTTATATGCTACAACACACCATGCAACTGCTGTTTGCACTGTGGAAGACCGACTCACCTCTGCATACTGAACGCTTGATTACTTTAACTAATATTAATTTAATCACTTAGGGGAACTTGTAGACTTAATAAAGCATCGAAAGGTAAGAACAAAATTAGCATGAAATATATATTTGTTTTTTTATCTTTATTATGATTCACAATTTTCTTGCTGTAGGCCTCCAATTGGTTGAATTTACATTGATTTCCTTGAATTTAAAATTCAACAGCCTTTTAAAGGACACACTGGGATCATCTAAATATGAAGTTGCAATAGAAATAAAGCTGTGAAAAACTGAAAAAGGTAGAAGTGATGGAGACTTTATATTCCCCGAATCTCAACTTACCAGCTTGACTGACAGGTATAAGTTGAAGCACTCAAGAAATGCTGAAGAATCAACTTTGGATACAATAACATCCAGTCAGTGGTGTCACTTGTATATGCTCTACACTGAAAATATGGCAAGTATTTTCCCCAAATTTGGTCACACTGCCAAAAAAACATGCACTCATTTTCCACCCAAACATACATGAAGTCAAAATGCTGGACATTCAGGCCTAATCACAAACAGAAAAGCAACATTGATGAGAAAATATCACTCCTCTCCCTCTCTCTCTGTGCTCATGCAGGGTTAAAACAACAACCAAGACAAAAAAAAATCTGATTAAAATAATGTTGGATCTCATTTCAGCTTTTCTCAGTCACTTTCTCTTTCTCCTTTTTTGTGCTCCTACAGGAGTGATTGGAAGCGATGTGGGCGGCTGGTGAGGGATACATAGCTTTATTCCTCCTCTTTGACAGAAAGTTGTATATTTTTGCATCAGATAACCAAAAACACACTTGCTTATATTTAAAGGTGCAGTTTAGTTCAGGATATTAGGCAGCAACACATCGGCTGTTGTGCATTTATGTCCTTGCTCATCCACATGTTTCCTGAATCACTCACACAGGAACTCTCAGTTAAAAAAAGCGTGTGTGTGTAGGTAAGGTTCTTTTTTATGGGTTGCTTCTAACACCAGTGCTCATCATTCCTGCTGTTAAATGCAAAGCTTGTGTCTCAAATGTTTCACTCAGTTTCACATCAGAAGGCACTGATTCAGTCTGAGGAGCATCTATTTCAGTAGCGACAGCAGATCGTCTAAAAAACACAAACATCCTGTCCCACGCTGCCATTCAAACGGGTCAGAGCAGTGTGCCAGTATGTGTCTGGTCTGCGCGTGTGCATGTGTGTGTGTTTAGGTGGCAGAAGTAGAGAGAGAGAAATAGACACAGGCTGAGAACAACGGGGCAAAGAGAAAGTCAGTACCTGTCGATGATAACAGGGTCTGAGGGCGTCTCATTACGATTTCCACAGCTCTTCTTGTCACAGCACCGACTGAGAAAAGAGACAAGAGTTAAAGAAGAAGACACGGAGCAAAGTGAGCTTGACGCACAGAACATTCGCTGCATTATATGAAAGTTTCCTATTAGAAGTTTAAATTGGAGATTTCCTACACATAATGCACTCTGACAGCAGCAATAGAGAGGTTATTACCAAATTCACATTTGATCAAGTCAGCCGAAAACAGGCCAACAGAAGTTTTACCGAAAGTCTGTCAGGGAGAACATTGCTGGGAGCTCAATTTAAAAATAGGCTTCTATGACACAGAAAGAGCATGCATCGCTTCATCTCAAAGAATTACACCAGATTTCAGAGGATCTAGTCAGCTTATAATCACAAGGTATAAATGAAAGACTGATACATAAATTAATTTGTAATTTAACAATGCACTTGTGGAGGAGAAAGTATAATAACAGTTGCGTAAAACGTTTATCCCACTAAAATTGAGTAAACATGGCAGTAACAGAATCATGATGTGGGATGCTTTTCTTCAGGGAAGCTGGTCATAGTGGATGTGAAAATGAATGGAGCTGAATACAAGAGAACACCAGAGGAATCCAGTTAGAGATTACAAAAGACTGGGGCAGAGGTTCAGGTTACAGCGGGACAGCAACTGTGTTGTGTCATGGGAAAATGTGTAAAAGTTCAAGGAGTCTGAACACTTTTGCAATGCATCATAAATTAGATTACCCATCCTAAACTGGAGACGTTTTGGGTTTAATTTGAGTATTCCATCATCGATTAGGCAAAACACATTCAAAATTGCTTAATATGTGACTTTCAATCAACCTCTTGTCATTAGTAAATAAATGCAGTTGCTACAAACTCTGGTCTGCAGCCTCTGTGATACTAGAGAAGAATGACATCTGAAAAACAATGCTCACTGCAAACTGCAAAGTACATGGCTGGTGGAACTTAAGTAAGAAGTTTCAGGGTGCTGACTTGGCCTTTAAAGTCTTCGGATCAATCCCTTACAGCATTTATGGGTTGTAAAGGAAGAGAAACTTAGATCTCTTGATCCCTGTGACAGCTTGCAGGATGTAAAGGAAATACTCCTCATGTCTGGCTGCCTGATGTCTCAGGTCATCTTCAGAGGTCATATAAAGTCTACAGAGGTGTTTTAGAGGCATAAGAAAAAGGATTTAAAGTAAAAAAATATCAAAAGTTATCTACAGTTCTTGTTGAATATAGATATACTTGTTTGTAAGATAAAAGAGGTTTTGCTCCTCCTGCCAAGAGAGCCTGATTAGAGAAACGTTTCAACTTTATGTGTTTCTATTACTAACTCTGGCTGTAAAAACACAACTAGTTAATAAAGTGTACATTTTAGAAACAAAACTTCACCAAATAACGTGTTTCTAAAAAGCACAGTAACAAAGTGTTTTGTTAATCAGCAGAACACGGTCCAGACGACCAGGTGAGGTGGAAGGTGGACGACACAGAAGCTCATATAAGGTCTGGGACAGAAACATAAGCAAAAGAAAAACCTGGCAAGCTCACAAAAACTCACACACGTGTACTACAAGAGTGTCAAAGAGGTTTTCTTTGCCTGTATTAATTATGAATAAAGGTGGAAGTCAGGAGGAGGGGAATAAAGCCATGGGGGAATCGGCAATAAAGAGTGAAAGAGTAGGCGTGGGAGGCATAGAAGAGGAGGGGAGACGAGGGGTTTGGGTGGGAAGAAGAGGAAGGGGAGATGTCTCAGGTTTCCCACTGTCACAGATGGCAGAGGTGGGGTAAAAAGGGACTGACATGTTACACCTTCCTTATTGTCTCCACTATCTGCTGCTCTGCCGCTCTTTCAGCTCTCCACCTCCATTCACTTTCCGCCGTGCCATGAACTGGGTCACCGCACGGAAACTTTTGGGGAATGGCGTCTCGTCGGTGAAGGGTTGAAGATGAAGGAAAGCAGAGAGATAAGGAAGTGGGAAAACGGGGGAGATGAAGAGACCAAAGAGGGAGGGAGGAAGGAAGCATAGGAGTGAACTGGTGAAGGTGGATGAAGTGATGAAGATTAAGGCTTAGAATCATTTCTTACCCTCTTGTATGCATTTCTATTGAATTCATTTTATTTCTATTTTGATGTAACTCTTACTTCAGGTCTAAGGTTGATATATTTTTAATATCTAACTCCAAGTTCTGCTGAGTAGAAAAGACCAGAATAAGAAATAAATACAGGGAAAAAAATATATATTTTTATTAAGCCAAGCCTAAAATAAGACATTGTCTTCTTATTTACTGAGGTACAATAAAGTTTTAAACATTTAAAGATTCAAAACCGCAAAACATGTACATTTCACCATTCCTAAAGTCTGAAATCTCTATTAAAAAATGCCAGAGAAAGAGTTGGAGTAACAAGCCGATTTAGTAGCAGATTCCTCCACTTTTCACTCATAGATACATCATGTTCTGTTTTTCAAAATATTTCTTCACAAAAAACATAAACAATGATGGTGTGGAAACCTTAAGAGCACCACTAGTCACACTAAAGTAATTCTGTTTTAAAATTACAGCTGGCAAGCTAAGATTATTAATGAAATCAATGCAAATGTGTTAGAAATAACATTATATTTTCTGTAATAATCAAAGTGATTCATTTCAACAGCAGTAATAATTGTAGTTTTTTCTGTTCTAAACAAAAGTAGTTGGATCATGTGATACATTTTCTTTGTAAATATCAAAATTCTGTATTATTTTTAATAACGTTATTTCACTGCAAGAATCTTATACCTAGTCTGTAAAGCCTTTTGCCAGTGTTATCCTATTTCCTTTAAGTCACTTTTGCCACATGCATCCAACCGAGTGACTGTTTAGTAATGTAGCAGCAAGGACACATGTATGTCTTGATTTTTAGCATTTTGTTTGAATTAAAAATATTTTTAAGATTTCAAGTTCTGTGCCAAATCTTACAGCAGTGATGTGGTGCTTTGTGATGTGGCAGGTTGGGCTGAGAGCATGTGGCTAATAGCTGCCCCATGATAAAAAGCCACACTGATTAATGGTCGCCCCAGGCTCTTTGTCTGAGCGCACATTCAGCGTTGTGTGGAGCTCCTATTGCAGATTCAGCACAAGAGAAGTTGAGACAACAACTATAGCTTTGACCTCAGCTGTTACTGAAGAAGGGAGTGAACGTACAGTGAATAAATGTTTTTGTTTCTGGACTGTTGCTCCTTCAGAGAAAAGAGTTACACCTGCTAGCCTGCATGCACAAATGTCTCTGGTGACATCACAAAAGCCGTAGACCAACCAAGCTGAGTTATGTTGAATTTGTACAACTGTAATTTTTGTTTGCTTTTCTTTATTCATATTTTATTTTACATTAAATATCTTTTTTAATGGTGTTGGCCCATATTTTGTGAGGTTACAGTAAAATATTTGAGCTGGATTAAGAGCACTGCATGGATTTTAGGAAGATTTGGACAGGAGACAAACAGGAGTATTTGGACCAGTTTCGGTTCTGAAAAACATGTTCATCATCACCATTTGATTCAGTACAGCAGTATCCATGCTGGTCATCAGCATAAATTCTAGCCCAAGTATGTAACTCAAATGCAATTTAAATGCCTGAGAATATATGTTGAAATCTGTCAAAGCTATCTAATTAGCATAATATTAACCAGTGCCATCTCAGTTCTTGACCCTCTTATGATGTCATCAACCCAAATACACAAAAAGCTGAATTATGTTTATTCAGAACACTTTTTAAAATCTTTGGATTTAATATAATCCTGCTGAAGGAATTTTAATTTTACTATACTGCTGTGTTTTTATCAATGTAATTTTTAGTGAAAAAATAATCTTTTAGAATATTAAAGAACTATAATAAGCATAGTAGAGTAGTATTTTAAACACTATAAATTCACATCCCTTATTTATTCCAGACATGCTTGACAACAATAACGCATTGCTAAATCTATTGCTTTTTAAATGTTGCTGAATAACTTTTGAATTTCAATAGGTGTTTTAATTAGGCTTTGCAGCTTAGCAGGTCAACAAATATTCAGCGATCTATAGAATAAAATATTAGTGTGGCTGATTTCACTGCTAAAGTCCCTGCTTGCGCATATAGATGAACCCCAATTTATATTGTTATAGTTAAAAATTGCTCAGTGACAAGGTCAGGGAACAGGAACAACTTAATTCATGGGCTAAATTTGAATTTTTATAACTGCGGTGTGCAGGCCTGTGCGTGCATATGCATGCTTCCTTTGTGGCTTTATGTGTGTGTTTGTGAGAAAGAGAGAAAGAGAGAGTGTGAGAGAGTTCCTGCTTATATTTTATAGTCAAGTTGTGGAAGGAGACCCATTTGTTAGCCATGAAGCAACAGAAGGGTTCAGATTGACTAATGAGTTTCTCTGTGTCCTAATTAACCAGGCATCATAAAGGCACATACACACCAACAAAACACTTGTGTTTCCACACACACACACTTCTTTTTGTATAGGATAGGATGGTAAAATGCCTCTATAAATAGACCTCTTTCCCCTCAACCTACTTCTGCAGAAATTCATCTTAAACTATAATTAAAGCAACGACCATGCAAGCCCAAACTCTTGTTCTTTAACATAAATCTTTATGCATCTTGGAGAGAGTGTGCGAGTGTGGGAGTGTGTGTCTGTGTGTGTGTAGAGAGGGTGGAGTTGGGGCTGTAATAAGGGCCACAGAAGAATACAGGTACAAAATGTGAGAGGTGAGAATTTTCTCGGGTTAACAAAGTGAAGTAATGAGGAGTACAGGGTGCAGAGGAAACAAACTGTGAAATGCTGAAGAGAAGTAAGGACAGGTGTCTCACCTGCACATGATCTCATGTGTCAGCAGCACTCTGCACATCTCCGGGTTCTTGTCTTGGCCTTCATAAACAATCGGCTAAACAGAGAGATAAAAGACGTAGAGAAATGTTACATTTTGTCTAACACATTATCACAGCGTTCACACATCTTAAGCTTTTTCACATTTTGCTGCCTCACTGCAACTTTCATTCTTTAACAAGTAGATTATGTGGTGGATCATCACAGAGTAGTGCATAATTTTGACACAAAAGGAGAATGTTAGATGGTTTTCAACATGTTTTACTCATAAAAATTTGAAAAGTGTCTTGTGCCTAAATACAAATGATGATAACACCCAGCTTGGTGGACCACAATAACATCATGCATAATTTTCCTCCCACTTCGCAATTATATAATTGTTTTAAGTCCCTTTAAAATGGATCACAATGTGTGATTTTAGCCTAGCAAAATATAGGAAGCAGTTCTGGGGTATGAATATTTTTGCAATGCACTGTGAATATCATGTTAAGTGTTTTGGCTAAAAGCAGTATAAATTTAGTCAGAAAAACTGTGAGAAAATTTCTTGACATGATCTATAAAATGCCACATAATCATCCAGGAAGTGAAGCTCCACTGTCACTCAGACTTGCCGAGAGATGCCAGTCACTGTCTGCACCACTGTATGGATGCATAAAGATGCATTAGCATTTTTTTCTTCCATACTGCACTCTAACAAACTGCAGGGAAGTGATGACAACATTTTGTGTGAGAACCGAATGTCAAACTGAGACAATTGAATTACTTCCAATGCAGAAATACATTCACACACCATCACATCACGAAATAAACCTGTGGGAATGTGTTGTTGGGTTAGCAGGTAAAGTTCCCACCTCACATGAGGAGCACACTGTTGATCAGTCACGCCTTTGCACCCTCACACTCTGTGTGTCGACACGGGCCGTCTGTTACTCCCCCCACAACACAAACACACACACACTTGGTTTGTTTCAGAGCATCTGCACGAAAACAATCACATCATCTCAGCTGACATGCGGTGCAGGTGAGTTTTTACCTAAAATTAAGTTGTATTTTTTTCCTGATGCCCACACTTTCTGCTTCTGAAAATAAGCTCCAGCTGAGGCGTCAACTGCTTTCATTATGCAGTCTTCCAGTTTGTGTAAGGAAGCTCAGAATAAAGTCGTACACCACTAAGCTATCCATCAATCAGGAGGTACGCCCTGTCTATCTTTGGTCTATTCCAGTCCGTTTGATCTGTCATTCTGAACTGCAGCAAATCTCACCGAGTGACAAGCTCACTTTTCTCAGGAAGTAGAAGGGAACTTTCTCCGTCCTCTGCAATAATCTTCAACTCAGGTTGAGACTAGTTGCTGGCATCAAGCAGTCGTTAGTAAATTAAGTACCTGTGGCGAAAAATCACTTGTTCTAAACAACTCTGCATGAGGCTACGCTTGGAAACATGTCAAACAATACATATCAAACTGTGGATTAAAGATGATACGTAATAAGTAAATCAATCAATCATTGAAATGAATATTTACATACATAAATTCATGTATTTAAAAGTAAAAAAAAAGAATAATTTACATATTTCATAAAAAGACGAAAAAACTACACAAAATATTAGAACATTAAGTAAATACAAAATGTTATTTTAAAATAGATAAATGATGTTCTAAGGTTAAAGATAAATACATACAAAATTATTTAATAAACAAAAAACCTCATAAACGAATAACATATTATTTCACCTATTGAAGTTAACTAGATATACAAATATATCCTAAAATAAATAAATGCATTTATGACAATAATTAACTCAATAAAGGTTACAACTCACTAACACTCATCTTCTCATCTCTCACCGTCATATTACTAAAGAAGAATGCATGTAAGCCATGCTTATGCCTTTTTGAAATTTCTTTACTTTTCTTTATGTTTAATAAAGTCAAAGTCAAAATTTGCTGTTCTTTAGTTCTGCCTTAGGGACGACTATTCAAGAACAACCCTTAATCGAACCAGCAGCTTAATTTTGAGTTGTTGTCTTTTCTAATCACTTCCATAAAACAGAGTCCTTTGGAGTAATTGATAATAATTTAGGTGGAGATTTTTTTCCAAGAATGTTTAAAAAGGGTCTGTGTTGTTTTACCCCTAAATGTCCTCCAGGAGCCTTCAGGCCTGTGTGTTTGTAGCTGGGGCCCAGCCTGCGTACAGACTGCAGACAGAGCCCCTCATTTGTAGAAACTAGTCTCTTAAATCCCCAGAAGCTAGCTTGGATGGCTGCAGCATTAATGCAGAGCAGCCGTATGGTTTAGGAACCAACTCACTTTAGCCTAAAGCCCTTTATACTAATAGCTGGCTGTCTCTGGGACCATTTGTATTTTCTGGAATTGGAGACCCGATATGCTTCAGGACCCAGAGTCCTTCTCAGTTATGATTTTCCGTGCATGCACACGCTGATGAAAATGTATTGACACACAAACCCAGAGCTTGAGCAGGACTTGGTGGTCCAAGGCTCAGGGGATGTGCACACCCAGGCCATTCAAGCATGATGTGTAACATGAAACAAAAATAATATGAGCCTGAAGCAGAAAGTGTGACAACATGCAGACTCAGCCGATGCTGACGTTTCCATAGTGAGTCTCACTAGAACACAAACTAAAAAAATACCTTCAAAAAATATTTGAAATGATCTGAGGCCAAGCTGAAAGTTCCCGTTGACACATTGCTGAGGCTGATCCAGCAACCAAGACGTTGGAGATATTTCAGTACATCATGTCAGTCTACACTCTAAGTGCAAAGTACACCACCTTGAAAAAGTATTCATGCCTGTTGAACTGTTTTTATAACACATTTGGTCATGTTGCAATTTCAGTGTATTGTATTTTAATTCAATTTGACAGACGCATAATAGAAAATTTCTGATATTAGTCTGGCGCTCCAAAATCTGGCACTTGGCTTAGACGCACAAGTCATGTAGGCAAGACGGCAAACTTTTGAAAGAAGGTCCTCTAGTCAGATGAGACCAAAATAAAATGTTCTGACCGAGATCCAAAACAAAACATTTCATGAACAACAATTAATGGTGGCAGCAGGAGCTGCAGAGATCCAAAGCTTAGGCAAGAGAATCTGCTGGCAGAATCTGCTCTTCGTCAAACGAGCCTTCATGGAAAATTGGCAAAGGAGGTTTCATTTGTAATTTGCATTTAGAAGACACAGCAAACATATAAACATTAAACTCCAGGTAAAACTTTATGTGGTTGAAAACCAAGGGCCATAAGTAACACATTGCATTTGCTCAGTTACTGTTACTTTTTGAAAAAGCAAAGAAGTACTTCTAGAAATAGTTTCACTATATTGTACTTTTACTTTTAGTGGAATTATTATAAAAACATGTTTTAACCAAAAGTGAACTTGACAGAAAAACACATCTAAAGTTTGACTTCTCGTCTAACAAGATGGAATAAATAGGATATAATGTTACTAGAAACACTTTGCCCTCTTCTGACATATATTCACTGCTTACTGTACATACTTGTTTTGTAAATTTGATGCTATTTGTCTGATTATGTCACTATTATATATTAAATCAGTTATTAAATACTTGAGTAGGCTTTTTACTAAATGGTCAATTCAGTCTTTTTATATTTTGATTGTAATTGACTGGTACAAATTGTAGCAGTATTTAAAAGGTATAAATAAATTTTCAAGGCACTACATTACTTCCAAAACTGTCTTTGATGTCACATTGTGTAACCCCGAACTTTTTAAGACATCAACTCTGAAATAGGAATCCTGTTTAAATATGTGAGGCTCAAATGTGTGTTCAAGGAGAGGAACAATTTCCCTTATTATTCTGGGGAAACTAAAGAACAACGTGTACGAAACCGAGGTCTAAATTTTCCAGTAAGTCTTTCTTCACACACACAAAAAAACCACTAAAATTTTTTACTTGTCGTTTCTTTCTGAATCTCCTTAACAGATTTACTTCTGGTCAAGACTTTGTCACCTCTCGCTTCCACTGCTCTTCCCCTGCGGTTTTTCCTTCTTCTCTTTCTCTCTACTTCACCAGGACCTTTTCACTGCATTTCAGCTGCTCGTCAGAAGTAGTTTTGCATATGTGGTTTTTAAACAGGGATCCATTAGGCAGGGAAACACACTTCTTCCTGTGTTATTGTCAGCATGATCCATAAGTCAGCGATCCAGCAGGGCCTGCAGTGACAGACGCTGTATTCTTAGGGACAAGGCGGTAATCAACGAGCATGACGCTTTTAAACATGAAGAGGACTGCCTATCATCAATTTAAAGCAATCTGTTCCCGACTTCAGCACTAAAACACAAAGCAGGTAGGCATCCAGAAAAAATAGTTTAATTTAAGTGCCAAGCATTAGAGTTGGCTTTACTCTTCTGGTATGTCAAAACTAAAAAACTCAAAGTGACTTACAAGAATTTTAATGAACGACAGCGTCAAGTAACATCTGAAAGCAAAAATCTAAAATTAAACCACAAACCTCAACAAGTTTTCTTGGGATTTTATAAAGTACAGAACACAAACCTGTGCATAAATGCTATTAGAAAGAAAAGGAAAAACTGTCTTGAACATTAAATCTTTTTTCAGTCTGTTAAACACGGATTTATCCCTGAATGAAATCTAATACAACCAGATGCCTGTCGAAATCAAGACATTTGTTGTAAACAGAGTCCACCTGTGCGTAATTTAATCACAGTATAAATACAGCTGCTCTGAAGGTTTGCTAAGAGAACATAAGTGAACAAAAAGCATCATGGAGACCAGGAAATGCAGCAGACAAGTCATGGGAAAAACTTCCAGAAGTTTAAAACAGGGTCAGATAACAAGAGATCATCTCAAGCTTCAAGCATCTCACTGAGCGTTGTGCAAATCAAATCAAGCTCATTCAGGTCGGATGGCGAATATCTGTAAATATGAACATTCAGCTCTTGGACTCTGACTATTTTAACACAAGAATCTTTTTCTAAATTTTGTGTTTTGCAAGTTTTGTGTGATCTGACCAGACGATAACATTTATTTTCACTTTCTTTGAACATTATCTTCTTTTTGACTCTCTCTCTCAACCGGGTTTGGAGATTGAACAAATAATCATCATCGTGTCAAGAGGTTCTTCATTTTATATAAAAGCATTTAGTTGCACTGGTTGATCTCGGGAGTATCAGAGTAAAAGTGGCTGAATACAACTTGACACCACACTTTTCAGATTTTTATTCACAAAAATTTCAGATAAAAATCTGAAATTTGCGAAAATTGGTTATTCATTTTACAACTATCTGTTACTTTTTCTATAAAATGCATTAAAGGCTGTGGTTATAAAGTTGAACAGTTCAGGCGATATGAATACTTTTTGCAAGTCTCTATAAGATTTCACCATAGTAGCATCTCGATGCATAGCAGCCGCTTTCTATGATTAAGTGTCATCTTTCACTCAGACTCTCCTCTTTTACGCCATATAAAAAGATGTCCCAAAGGTTCACTCTCCAATTCAAAGTAAGTAATATTTCCAGCACTTGCCCTCAGCATTTAAATCCCTACTGATCTATGCCGTTCATCCAGCGCTGCAGGGAGCGTATTATGTCTCGTTGCAACTGTTTCCTTCTTATCCTCGCTCATCTCTGGCTATTTCTAGACGTTAATGCTGTTTAAAATATGCAAGAGATATGCTACTACTGTAGCCATGTCTAGACCACAGAGATTAACAGGTCCTCTCTGAAAAGCTATCACAACAGACAGTGGGATGGAGGCATTGAACCTGTGATGCTTGTCTCAGAAATGAGGCTGGATTTTGCTTCCCTTTCTCATTACTACAATTGTTAGTGTCTGCCTTGTTTCTAATATGTAAAATTCTGTGTAACACTTTATTTTCTATGCTGTTTCTCAGCATAGAAAGTGGAAAATAAAGTGGTATATACATTCAGTACAATTAAAAGGATCCACATAAATGCAGACTGTAAAAGTTTTTAGGTTACTGTTGTCGAAACTGACTGGTATTGGAATTTTTTATTTTGGGGTTTTAACTTCACTTCAGTGCAATTTATTTTGTTAATGCTAATTAAAAGGATAAGTAATCCAGGAGATATAAGCAGAAGTGTCCAAATCAAATCCCAACTGAACTGACTTTTCTGCTTCAAAAGTTTGAAACAACCAAATTTGGCTTGTTTTCCTCTTGCATTGTGAAAATCCAGATAAAAAGTGTGAAAAAAGAATCTGTAAATAATTGTGACAAGCGAGGCGACGTTTTGCCTTTAATGTTGCTTCAGTGAGAAGATCAACCACTCTTGGCTTCATTTTTCTCTGCTTGGCAGGACAACAGTGCTGAGGAACAACTGTGTATGTGACTAGAAAGACAGCAGCCATGACATCACTAAGCAACTAAGCCAACCACACGGCTGTTTTGGTTCCACCACCTGTTATCGTCCTATTCATCTAACGCTGGGAATTTAACGCACCCAAACAGAGAGACGCACACGCACGACTGAAACAATACACTGACTCCTGTTCACTGTGAAAAGCCAAAAACTAATGTCAAATAAATCCACAGCTCGCCCATTGAAAAGAAAAACTTCCTTTAACAAGTTTCTTAGGCCCACAGCATGACACAGCCTAAATCTTACTTAAAAGTGGACAGAAGGTGCTCTTCCAAATATTTTGTTGCATAATCAAACATTTGTTTCAGAACATTCATTCAGTGAGAAAACCAAATCCAACAAAACAAAATAATTGCTTTTAAAAGCTAACTGGTTGCACGTTTGAAATAAGTTTCAACATTATTTAATTTATACCTAAATTTCAAGCTTACCAGAGTTTCTAGGAACTTCACTCAAAGTACCATTTCCTTGCTTACTTAATGCAATTTCTACATAGACTTAACGTAGCAATATAGACATTACATTTTGGCTACGTTCACACTGCAGGCCTTAATGTTGAATCCCTCTTTTTTTTTCTGCACGGCCGTTCATCCTTCCAAATATATGCGACTTGTATTTGAAACGCAAACCACCAAAAATTGTCCCGCATTGGAGGTAGGGGGCGCAATAGCGTCACACTTCGAAGCGTTATCGGTGTTTTATCATACAAAGAAGAAGAAATACTCAGTATTTGCCGAGGTAAACGTGGATGTTGATAGCGGAGCGCATCTTATGATACTGAAGTTGTTGTCATTACAGTCCGCTATGGTTGTTGTTTTTCTTCCTGCTTGCGCGTGTCAGGACGCAGAATAGTGACGTTTGTCAAGGATCAGTGACGTTCAGTGATGAATGGGATGAAGGCAACCTGGCCATTAAGACTCAGGGCACATTTTAAAAGGTCAGATACATATCAGATTTTGAACCACATATGTAAGTGTACTGGGTCGAAGAAATTCGATCTGTGTTGTTCAGACTGTTGTGAAAAACTCAGATACATATCCCATTAAGGCAAAAAAGAAACAAAAATTAATTTGGGTCACTTAAGGCCGCAATGTGAACTGAGTCAAAGAAACTCCATTTCTTTTATACACGGTGAGAAGGATTGTAAACGAGGTTAAAGAAACTTTCAAAACTTACAGTTCAACTACATTGCAGCAACAAGTGGTCTCTTTACACCAATAAGTCTCAATAAGCAAAATTAATGTCCAAACTGGCTGTTTTGGGACGCGCCCAGTAAAAAGCCATCTGTCCTACCATCACACATGAAAATATGTGATCTTTATCAAAACTCTTCTGGGATTTTACCTGGATTTTATCAATCTTAAATGTTTTCTTTTAAGATTGTCAAAAATGTTGAAGATTGTCAGGCATCACTGCATGTGGGATGGTTACGTGAATGAGCACCTCAAAACCACTGTTCTGTTCTAATAGAGGATCTTTAATGAGCTTTAAAAAGCCCTTAATATTTCTCCTCCACTTTCAAAGGAATAGTTTTTTGTGAGCCCTTGAAATGGTTCAAACTGCTGTTCCCTCTTCAGAAGGGAATCCTCCCTGTTATGGGCAGGGAAGTCTAAGAAATGTGCTGCCTTTCCCCTCCACTAACACCAATTAGCCACAGGAGACACTAGCAGGGACCAGAAGCATCAGCAACACCTTCACCACATGAAGGCAGCGATGATTCTACAAAGGAGGAGATAATTGAGATAATCTAATCTCGATGACTCCTCAGAGCCTCAGTTTCTATGCACACCTACATTATGCAACATTTCTTGAGGTGGTACTTCTTATTATAAAAACTGCACATTCTTTGTATTTATTAATAGTTTTTAGCAAATCACTATAGGTGGCACTGAAGTACAATTTTAACAGTCTTGTTTAGGGAGTGCTGCATAAAACCAGAGAATCCAGAGAGAACCCACACATCCATGGGGAGGAACTGTAAGCGCCATGCAAGAAGACTCCATGCAGGGATTCAAACCCAGGACTTTCTTGCTGCAAGGCAAAATTCCAACATGTAGCCCCCAAATCTAACTCCTTAGAAGCAAAATATGTTTAAAAAAACGAAGACAAGACTTTTAAACAGCACAGTACTCTATGATGTATTGCAACGTTGAACTAGTTAAAACTATTTCTTTGTCTCTAATTCGAAGCACTGATATCTATTGTTCTCACATGTTCACGTTGCTGACCATGTGTTTGTGTGGGAAGCGGCTCCCACTGAGTGTAACTGGTGATCACCCCACAGAGATTGAGGTTGAGGTAAAGTATGTTATTGTTGAAGCCGTGTGGTCCTGCGGGCCTTCCAGTCTCTCTCACACACACACACACACACACACACACACACACACACACACACACACACACACACACACACACACACACACACACACACGGTATGCAGTGTAGTGTGGCAGCAGTAACGTGAGACTCTGTCAGAGCCTGGAGCCACATTAACGAGTATTCAGTGCATGGCATCGGCTCTCGGCTCCGCACACAACTAACGGCCAACTCTCACTTTCAGCTTCACCAAAAACAATGCGTGAGTTGAACGATTTAAATAACATAATTTAAGTAAGTTGAGACATTTTGCACTTTATGTATACAATGTCTTTTCTAACTCATTAATATACATAAACAAAAACATGAAGCACAAATTGCATCCGATCAGACGATGCTTGCCACCAGGTAGACCAAATCCCAGAGGTGCCGTTACATCTTCCCACTTCCCACTGTGAGCAGCAGACTCCCGTTCCTGTTCCTCAACACCCGCTTGCTGCCTCTTTGCTCTAATCACAGCGAGAGAAGCACAGGCAAAGAAAAAAACGCCTGGAGCCATGCAGCGTGTGTTGCGTGTGCGCGTGTGTGTGCCACCATCTCTCACATTCACATTGTGGAAACACCCAACCGTTGAATCTCGCACACCCAAACGCTCATCAGTCTGTGTGTGCAGCGACAATGCGTGAGGGCGGTGGATCTGTGGAGCGGCTTAATGTCAGCGAAGTAACAGGAGAGGTGACAGACTGCTGGGAGTGTGAGAGTGTTTACCTGTTTAGTCATGGAGTCTATAAGTCGGACGTAGAAGTCCTGCTCTGTTCTGATGCCTGCCAGGAAGCAGAGGAGAGAGAACATAGATCAGAAGGTTTACATCGATTCTAAATAAAAGCATGTCCATTAGATAAATCTTCAAATTAAATAAATAGCAAGAGAAATGTTTTTTCCCCAACTTTTTGTTTTATTTACAAGTAGTTGTGTAAATTATTATGTCTTTTCTCCTTCTAAAGGAACTGAGCTGCAACAATGAGCTACGAATGACCTTGTTTTATTACAAAACGTCCCTGTTCATTGGAACATGTAGAATGTTTTGGCACTTTAAAATTAATTTACAAACATTTACTGAAACTAAAATTTGAGAAAAATCTAACCTTTTTTTTTTAGGAAAAATAATTCAGAGGAGAAAAATGTCCTGTTTGGAACTTTTTAAAAAACAAATTCAGCAGTTACCGGTGTGTTTCATTAAAAGACCGATCTTCCCAGTCAAACAGTCAGCTCCACATGGACAGAGCATTTAAAGAGGGAGACTTTGACTGTTCACATGCGGATAATGTCTGGATTATCCAAAGTCATGGGTGTGCTCTCGTCTCTTCAGGTCAGTCATTATATTTTTTATTATATTTAGGTTTGATTTAGGCTCACAGCATCACAAATCCTCTGATATCCATTTGGATATCAGAGGATTTTTAGCTGTTCATCCTTTTTTCTCCAAGTGACACAACAAATATTCCAAAAACTTGGAATGTCTGTTCCTCAGACTTATTCCCACCTAATAAGCATTCCTGTAGCAAACTCTACATTTGTGATGGTAGGACAGCATGCCTCCAATATCACCTGTTGGCATCTAACCAGCAGCTAATGGTTGCTATGAGACTCGTTGGTCCCAAGAGCGCTTTGGAGATTTCTTTCTATCCTCCCTGTGAAACTACCTGATGCACCTCTGTCACATCATATCTGTTCCAGGTAAGCAACGTATGGATCACTGATTGGTAGTTTGATACATTAAAAAATAAGATAAACTAAAGAGACAAAGCAATACTTAAAAGCTCTTTGCACAGCATATCTATACGTTAAACAGTCACTATTAAAATACAATTTATTAAAAATAAAATTCATTCATTCTAAAAATCTTCTGGTGCTTCTGTTCTATATATTTTATTATGACAGTTACCATTAATTGTGCCACAGGTGCATTTAATAAAAACATTTTTTTTCTCAACACAACATAATTTTCTCCCTTGAAAGGATGTACTTAAATTAAGATTTGGATTATTATTTTTACTTTATGCGTGAGAATATTAGATCAGTTAATAAAATTAGCAGTAAATGTATTTGAGGTCCTTTCAAAAGACTCAGTCAGACTAGTTTGGTTCAGCTCTCAACTTCCAACATTTTGGCCCATAAATCTTCACATCACTCTGCCATAAATACATAAAAATATAAAACAATGAACAACGGGGATAAATTAGCAGACCACTACTTCTTAACATCTGATTTCAAGCTGTCAACAAGTGCAGGCCTCACATTGCAGCCGCGCTTTTGTTACAGTGTAAAATAGTCCTACTGGAACTCAAACAGGCTCCAAACTGGAAAGCCTAATTTAGGGACAGTGACAGTGATAAAGCCACAAAGCTGCTCCAAATCGCCCGCAACAGCTGCACTGAAATTTGACTAATAGATCTCATGAAACTCCTGAAAGTCTCCTGAGTCTGTGTGACAGAAACAAGCTGCGGCCGCCTGATGCTCCTGTGCAGCGTGGAAACAGTTCAAAACAACGGGGGAAAAACGCCTGTGTGCGCATTGGATAGAGGCTGTGATGCTGATTTGCTCAAACTGATCGAAAATGATGCGACCACTCACCGTTACTGTAGAGAAGCTGAAGTCGGTAATGAATCCCGTTATTGGTCTTCTCCCCGCTCGACTCCTTAAACACACAACAAACTCTAAGACTCCACTGAGACTCAGAGAGCTTTTATTTCAAATAAATAAATAAAAAGAAAAGCTTTACGCATGTAAGACCAGACCGAGGGAGTTCAGCCACATATATTACATAACAGAGAGAATTATGTATGTATTGATGTATTAAAGGAGCGCAGCCTTGTAATTTAGCTCGCTGTGTTATTGTGGATTTTTAATTCCTCTGTAATTACCGGTTATGTTTGGAGGGGGGACAATAAACCCGACACTTGGTTCGCCCGCTGCATTGCGATGGCATAATTGATGAGGCGCTCGCTGCGCTCTTGTTTATATAAAACAAGTGGTTATGTTCAACAGAACCATAAATTAAAAATAATTTCAAACGAACACCGAGTTGGAAATTTAATGGAAACATTCAAAAATCTTTTTTTTTGTTTTTGTTTTTACAACGTGTTTGTGTCGTTTATTTCGGCCTTTTTCAAAATCAAATTCTGATTTTTGTCGGCGTTAATAATAATAACAATAATAGCAATGATAATACTAAAAATATTGTTATTAATTATTATTACTTTAATAATAATAATAATAATAATAATAATAATAATAATAATAATAATAATAATAATAATAATAATAATTCTTAAACTCTTAAGCTGAAATAAGTCAGGCCTGTGGGAAATCTGAACCATGTTTCATTTGATGCGACTGTTTTCCACGAGTGTTGCCACTCACCTTCTCTTTCTCGATGAAGTCCACGAAGTTGGTCCTCTCGATCTCCACCGGCTGGCCCTGCCGGTCGTACAGAGCCAGGACGAAGTGGAAGAAGTTGGACTTCCGCAGGTTGGAGGGCGGCTGCTTCTCAAAGTGAGCCCGGGCCAGACCCACTCCACTGCGGACACACAGGCAAGACAGAGGCGGGCGTTTGATTTCGTTTGGTTGTTTGCCTTTATTAATGGCTAAGAAGCTTACTGTGCAAAGGGAAAAAAAAATTGTAAAGGAAAAAAAAAGACTAAAATAATAGCAATGAATAAGAAATACCAAAAGACGCTCCAAAGCAGCTGTTGTGCGTTTAAAAAATATATTAATTATAAGTATATATTGAATAAATCTCCCATAAACATATATATGTTTATATATAAACCTTTATGATATTTCTGATTATGTTGTTTATATCTCCTGGTTCCATGATGATTTTACGCTCACTGGACTTGAACTAGAAGTGAGTAAAAATCAACATTAGCACGTGTTGCCGCTGGTTTAGAAAAGTGAGGCTGTGCTGCAGCCCAACGTCAATCTGAGTAAGTATCTTCATCCCCAATAGTGTCTCCGCTGTCTGGAAATCCAGCAGCCTCTCTCCGGAGACCATCATCACGGAGAAAACACGCGTGATTTCCATCCCTCCGGAGCCGGTCCTCGGACCGAGGCGTGGAAGCGCCCTCCTTCAGCGGGGCAGAGCTCACCTTTGAGCGGCCGTGTTGGCGTCCAGCACGCCGCCTCCCTGCATCCAGCTCCGGACGTTCATGCCTCCCAGCGGCTCTTCCTTCAGACTGCTGCCGCTTCTCTGGATGCTCTCCTGGATCCCGAACATGAACAAAACCTCGGAAAGCCCGTTCCACTGCGCACTTGTTCTGCAGTGGATCCGTCACTCGGACAACGTGGTGCGCTCCCGGCTGCTCTTTATTCCCTTTGCCTCCTGTTCTGAGCAGGGCTTTGGAAACTAAAGCTGAGCGCAAATCTTACAAGAATACTGAGATCCAACTTGTCCCAACATTTATGAAGAGGTATTAAATCGCTTCAAAGAATGACGGGGACCGGATTGACCCGAAAGAAGTCAATCCAGGCTCGCAGAGATCCACAGTGTGAGCTGTCAGGGAGGAAGAAAAGAAGATCAGATGTCATCATTGTCTGACACTTCTTTCTTCATCTTTAAGTCTCTTCTTTCCTCTCTGCCTGCAGCTCTGCGGTCCGCGGGACGTGCCGTGGCGCGGGTGATGTCCGGATCAGGGCTTACTCCTGCGCTCTCGCAACTCCTCACTCGCTCTGAGGAAATCGCTCTGACTCTTCCCAAAGGACCCCTCTCTCTGAGAACCAAACAGGGGGGGCGCTTCTACCGCCCCAGAAGAGAGAGAGAGAGAGAGAGGTGGTGGGAGTGGAATAGGAAGGGAAGGGAATACCAGAGGAGGGGAACAGGAGGACAGGAGACGCCCCCAAGCAAAGAGTCAAGTCTGCATCATGCAGCCACACGGAGCTCCCCTGTCTTCCTCTAATGGCCAGAAACTCTGTCTTTAATCTGATAAAGAAAAAAAATAAGTGATTATGAAGTGAAACCCACGCCTGCACCACAATCTCCAAAATTGCCCACACAAGAATATTTTTTCATCATAAGGGAGCTGTGTCTGCTGGAGCAAAGCAAAGACCTCAGCAGCTCTTCAGGAGGGAGCATCTCCCATTCAGATATTAAATATCAATTCCCCAGGAATCTTTGCATTAATAAATACTGAATCTTACAATAAAATATAAGCAACCGAACGCAAGCAACGACCTTAACAAAATGAGAAGTTCAAACTCTTCTCAGTTGTTATTACAACTTGACAATATCTGAAAGTATTTAATTAAGAAAGAAAATCTATCAAAAACCTAACACAGGACATGAGAGATGCATTATCCTTTATGCTCTCATGTCTTTATTGGTACTCTGAATAACTTTTTTTAGCATTGATCATTTGCGATGTAAATATGAAGCAAGTTAACAGATATATCTGAGCTCTTAAGCACTCACAGCCACAAAGAGGATCCTTACTGACTACTCACATGTGTCAACCTCTAAGGTTGAAACTTGGATCTGGAAATGACATCACACCCAATTTAACAATATTCCAGCTGCAAGTTGAAAACTCATGGGAATTGGCAGTTGTTATGGTTACTTAGCAGGATAACGAGCGATAAACAATGTTTTATGCACTGAAACACTGCAGTGTGTTGTCAGACCTGATCAAATACAAGCCAAAACTTTAATAAATTGTAAGTAAATAATTGGTCACATGGTAGCTATGTTCTTATTGATGATAAACGTCTAACTTTGAGGGTCTTTCTTGGTCATGTTTGCAGCTCTGAACTTTGAACGTTGCAAGTTTTAAGAACATCTGAATTTCACAGTTAAATTGATGTCTAAACATAAGTACCAAGAAAAAGGGACATTTTTATTTGTCCTTTCTTACTTTTTATAACAAAAGTCCTTAAAAAATAAATGAAAAAGTCAAGGTGCAGTAAGACTTTGCTCTGAGGTGGAACTTGGAATCCATCAGATTTTACCGAGTACGTTTTTTTTTTCTCCAAGTCACTTAGACATTTAGATCTGACCAAAATAACCTCTTTGTCTATACAGCTGACTTTCTGAAATAATAACTAAAAAGCCCATATTTTCTGCCTATATTTATGTGACTATATTTATGTCACTCACATTACACCAAGTCTGCCTCTGATTGGTTCATCAGGTCTCTTGATGTCTCCTGTGTCTGGAGGCAATAGTCTTTCAACTAGCACCTTTTGTTACATCATATTTGTTTAAATTTATATAAACTTAAGAGTTTGGCTTTGTTTTGTTCTGCACATTAAACTAGTGCTGTGAGTCATTTAACAACTGTCTTTTAGCGTGTCACATGGTTCCAAGTCAAAAGTGAAGAACAACTGAAATCTCCATCGACTATCCCTTTATTTGGTGGAAATATTTGTTGAAAACCACAAGTTGGTTCTTGAGAACAAACAGCCTGAACCATGTGAAATACTTTACTCCTTCCAGTTAAGTCCTTAAAGCTTCTGGTGGTAAACGGTAATGGAGCAATAGTTGGTTCGACTTTGAATTCATCCCTTTCTTTTTCCATTCCCTCTCAGACTAACATTAGTTTAGCATAGCTCAAATTGAATCTGCAAAGTCGGTTTTATTAGACTTCTGAAAGATCAATAAATCCCTGAAAAATCTCATAATTTGATCAAGATTTTCACTGTTTACTTATTTGATCATAAACTTACTTTTATTAGTATCTCTTCTGAGAAGAGCTTCAGTAGGTGTGGGAGAGAAATCTGCCTTCTTTCAAATAAAAAAGAAGGACGACTCAAAACTTTCGCACAGCATTGGCATAAGAAATTCAAAATTATCTTACATATTCCAAAATAAAACTTTAAAAATGACTAATTTCAATCTAAATTGCTTTTATTAGAACATCAGTGTGTGCAGACGTTTGTTAAATTGGATGTAATTTTTATTTACATCGGTCGGTTACAGACTCCATTATAAAAAGGCATTTTTTGTCATAGCATCATATTCCTGCTCCCTATTGTCTTAGGCCTTGCTTTTTGCAGCCCAGCGCCACAAGACACACAAACAAAAGTGACAATAACAATAATTAGCTCAAAATAACAATAAGCGTAATTGAGGATAATTGCAACCAGATTTCCCCGCTTTGTCTCTCCCTCCGGCACCATCTGTTATTTGAAACTATTTATCACCCTGCTAGGAGGAGGTGGAGGGGTGGGGGGTCAAAACAAAATACAAATATTAATAGATAATGCAGTGAAGTGTTAAAACCAATATTCTATTGATCTGCTAAAGGTTAGGAGGTCCAAAAAATCCTGCTATTTATCTATGTGTGAGAATGATTGGCAGAGAGAGAACTGGCACTCTTCCAGCTCTTATTCTCAAAAGGCTGCTAGAAAATGCTCTTGACCTTGATTAAGGAGGAGAAGAAGTCTTTCATGCTCTGGTTCTGCTTATGAAGTGACACACAGAGGCTAGAGGCACACAGAAATCCATAGTCAAACAATTGGAGGGAGATAAAGTATGTGGTGCATAATTATGGCTTTGACATAAATTACTAAAAGAGAAAAATATTTTTTTCAACTGCAGATAAATTTGATCTTAAATAAACAGCATGAATTACTCTGTAAACTTTGCACATAAATAACACATCCCTTACCCAAACTTGAAAACGTGCACTTAAAATATATTTAATATTTTATATTATTAAGCGATTTGTAATGATATGTCTACAAAATGTGTTTGAAGACCTTCCAAGGTATTGTGAGAGAAATCTTAAAATTAAAAATCAAAACATGGTCATTCAATGATTATTAATCATAACCACAAGTATACATCTCTATTTTTTCACATCTCTAAATATAAAGAAATGCTGCCGAAATATGCACATGAACATGAGAAATCACTTATTTGGTCCTCTGCATGTGGTTAAGTCGCTTCAGCAGTTTGTCCCATGAGTTTGTGTTCTGTCAGCATAAATGTGGCGCAACAGCGCCACCGTGTGCCTGGTTAGTGCAATAGCAGGTCCAGTTCGGAATTTTTGTATTTAGTCATTTTGCTTGATAGCCCAAGATAAACAAGTGCATAATTGTGTAGTGGATGGACCAGTAGCTAGACTTTTCTTTTACTAATATTAATCAGAAGTTTGCAATGTATTCAGATGCATTGAGAATGGATGGGTGAAAAATACAGGCATTTTCATGCACAAAACAGAACAAGTTCAGTCAGCCTGAATTGAGAGCATCTGAGGATGTTTAAAATGTTCTCTCCTCAAGTGGATTTAAGACGTAGCCAACATAATATACCTTAATCAAAACCACATTGTTCTGGCTACTTGCTTAGGAAGTTGCAAAGTTTCTGTCGACAAGTTTTCCCACCTGAGCTGTAGATCTCTCCAGCTGCCTCAAAGTTACACCTCAACTGCTTCTGAGTATTGCTCTTCTTTTTTTCTTGGGGCGACAATTTAAGGCACATTCCAGTGTCTCCTTGAGCACACCTGAATCAAATACATAGGTGATTCCCCAGAATTACCTATGTATTTGATTTAGTACTGTCAAAGTAAAGACATACTCAAATTCAAGCAAACTAAACTACTTCATACAGTAAATCAAAGCAGTAAAGAGCAGAATGTTTTGCAGAGAATCGTTTATTTTATTTGACATTCAGTTTCTGTAAAATAACCAAGGCAACACCAGGCATCCAGTCTGAAAACCAGCTGTGGGACATTTTTAATTCAACACAAGAGCCAAGTTTTACAGAGCAGGCCCGATATCTGTAGGTTTTGAAACTAACCAGACAAAATAAAATAAAATAAAAAATATAAAGGAAGGCTCAGGTAGAGCAAGAAAACACCATTCTTCACTTTGAGGTATTAGCATTGAGCAGCTGTGTTAAAAATGCATTCACTAAGTTTAACAGTATGCTTGTTTCAGTTATAGATCCAATTTCCATATTTGCATATGCTTCTTTTATTTCCATTTCAGACACAATCTCGGCTTTGAGAAACTTGGCTTTTAGAAGGCAACACTATTGTTTCTCTGATTTATGATGCTCTGAAAATGTTAAAGATATTCAGGCACAACATGATAGAACATCTTTGAATCGTGTTTCAGGTACATGCTCTTAAAATAGTGTAAAAGCAATCAAAAATGCCAGAAAGCTCCACTTTTACAGTTTTTTTCTTTTTACACCAACACATTAAATCTGCTGAAGTTGAAATGTTGGCACATTTAATCTTAAGTTAATCCTGCAGCTGAAACAGAGCTGGAAATAATGCACTGTAATACCGGCCTTTAAGAGAATATGAATTTTAATGACCACACCGTTAAGTCACTGAAGGAACAATTTAGACAAAAACTGGAGTTGGAGATTCATTTTAGAATATTTTTCATTTGATTTTCACCTAACAAACTGCTACTTAGCACTGTTTGGTGGACAGGGAACAATTGTGCATATATACACTGAACCAAAAGCTGACAAACGTTTGTGTTAGTTAGCATTTAATACTGCAATGCAGATTCAAATACAGCTGCCAATGACAATTTTCAAACATTGCATCATGCAGGTGATTCTTCTGCATGATACAGTCTCCAAAACCTTGTAATGCATAACAAATATGTGTAGCCATTGAAGGGGCTTCATTTATAAATCAAGAGTAAAGAAACAAAGACAGTCCATAAGTTCACCTTTCAGAGAAAGATGCACACGATACATCAGTC